TGGAGGACTCTACACCTTGATATCCGTGGGACTCCAGAGGCACCAGCAGCTTAAAATATCTGTTTGCTGCTATGTAATGGTATTTTAGCAGCTGCTCTCTTGATCCGATGCATGGATCTGGCAGAAATCTTCCTCAATGTGCCTTTATCTGCACGAACCCGTCTGTGCTCCGAATCAGCCACAAATCTCTTAATAGTGCGATGATCACGCTTAAGTTTTCGTGAAATATCTAATGTTTTCATACCTTGTCCAAGGCATTGAACTATTTCACTCTTTTCGGCAGCAGCGAGATCCTTTTTCTTTCACATATTGCATGAAAATGGTGCTCTGCTTAATAATGTGGAACACCCTCCTTTAGTAGTTTTTCCTTAAATTGGGCTCACCTGGCAATCTAATTATCACAGGTGTCCGAGATTGTTTTCAGTGATCCCTGAGACACCATGCCATCCATGTGTTAAACTGAAAAACTAAATATTTAATCTTTGTGATACTTAAATAGAATTTGCAGAATAATTTGGAACAGGGTGTAATCACAGGGAATCACTATATGACCACATCTTGAGAGAACTCAAACAATTACACTAGCGACCAGCTAAACAGTGTGCGTTCTTTAAACGTATCAACCTACTACAGTATCAACTTCAAACTATTATTTATTTGATTTTGTTTTATATTAAATATTTTACTATTACTATTCATTTGTTCATGCTATCTGAAACAAGAATTATGTTTCTTACTTTTAAGATAACAAATAATCATTAATCAGTACCCTGAGAAAAGAATCATTTTATAATCCCCAATTCAATTCTTTTATGGCTTTTTCTTCACTTTATACAGAAAATAAAGAAATCAAGGAAGCGGAACTAGATGCTAAATGTACAAAGGGAGTTCTACTTACAATTTTTTTTGAAGGACCAAAAAAAAACAATTTGGGTTTCACCATATATACCCCATCAGAAGTAAAAAATAAAATAAAAAAAAAGAAGAACCTGTCCCATTGAAGAGGAGTGTTTAGATGCCATCAGAGTCCTCAGCTGCCATTTTTCGAGTGCTGCACAGGTCTAATAAGAAACTTGAGTGGCACTGGTTACTATAGGTAAGCCAGTCTGTGCCCACTGTGTGGTGAGTGTTTTAACTTTTGATATATTTATAATATCTTCTTTGAGCTTTCCTTTCCATGAGATATGTGTTCCCTTTAGGTAATATATAGAAATTTATATATATTATGCTTACAAGGTCACTCAAAGCATCATGCCCACTTCTGAGAGTATCATTAGCCCACATCAAACTGTGCATATTGATAGACACACAACATGCTAGTGAGAGATGACCAATGGTCATGGTTTGGGATCGCAAGTGTTAGTTTTCCCAAATACAAAGAAAATACATTTTATTTAAACACCGTTTTAGCTAGTAGTAACGGTTTAAGACTGGAGGATATTTTATGAGTTGAGTTTCGATTTTACCTTTTACTTTTTATATTTATTTTTTTGTCAGAAAAATGCTTTTCGTTAAAAGTGAAATGAAGAAGAGGAGGGATGTGTCAGGTGTAGAGATGTCGCGAACCATTCGCGAACTTCCCGCGAACGGCTCGCCACGGTTCGCCACGAACCGTTCGCGGCGAGCTCCAGTCAGCTGACACATCCCGGCCAATCTCCAGCAGACCCTCCCTCCCAGACCCTCCCACCTCCTGGACAGCATCCATGTTGAAGCTGCCTTTAACATGGATGCTGTCCAGGAGGTGGGAGGCTCTGGGAGGGATGGTCTGTTGTAGATTGGCCGGGATGTGTCAACTGACCGGAGCTCACCGCGAACGGTTCGTGGCGAGCCGTTTGCGGGAAGCTCGCGAACGGTTCGCGACATCTATAGTCAGGTGGTGTTTATTCTGCATTGGTAATACTTTTTTCACATTATAGGGTGAAAGTATTAGAACATATTATTTTCAGTCATATTGAAATTGAAGCAGTTTAAGTCCAACAAATAACCTGAAATGTTACAAAGAAACCAGTAAACTGCTACAGGTTAAAAAATAAAAGGTTTAGCAGGGTTGAAAAGAAAACCAGTGTAATATCAAGTACAATAACCTACTACAAAATACAGTGGAATGCTTAATAGGTGTACATAAAAGACTTTCAGCTCTCAATATACAATATATGGGGAGATGTAATCAGTAAACTGAAACAAGAAAAGGAAAAAAAAAAAAATCTAGTTTAATTCAATATGGTGATATTATCCCAATTTTCACTATTCATTTACATGACAGAGCCTATGACTGTCTTGAATCTTAAAAGCACCTTTAAAGCTGTGCAAAGCCTTTCTTCTTTGCTTGTAATGGATACTAGACATGTGCATTTCGTTTCGTTCAGAATGTACATTCGGAAAAATTTAGTGTAATTCGGAAATTCGGATGCTACAAAGTTCCGAAGTTCGAATTGCCGAAGTGTCTAATTTCCAAAGTGGGTTAGGGCTTAGGGTAATGGGTTAGGGTTATGGGGGTTAGGGTCCGAATTACCTAAGTTCCGAATTGCCGAAGTCCCGAATTTCGGAAGTGCCAAACCAAACTGAATGCCATAGCAGACAAATTTATTTTCTTACCCGAATTTCCAAACCAAATGTTTTGCTCATGCACATCCTTAATTGATACTCTGAAAAAGGAAAGAGAGATAAAAGGTACAAAAAAATCATGCTGTATTTACAATAATGTAATTAATACATATCAATATTATACTGATCACCTTATTGAGAGCCAAATCAAACCACCTTTGAGGTAAATGGCTTGCAGTTCCTGTAGGGGGTGGCACTTGCTCCCCTCATTCTCCAGGTGTGAGTAAAGTAGCAAACACATCTTACACTAAAATGTACTAATGTACAAATGTATTTTGTATAAATCAACAAAAAAGTTCAAAACAAAATACCATTAAAAAAAATGCAGTAATGTGCAAAAAAGTCTAATCCCAATATGCATTTTGCTGTTCCTTCAGCTTCATCAGTTGTAATGGTGTTGCTGTCAAAACTACTATTTTATTTACAACCTTCCATTAGGTTCACGATCCACCTCTGTTGACCTCTTTCAAACACTTCCAAGTACAGGCAAAGTATTGGTATCATTATGTCCAATCCATATGTATTATGTTTGCTGCAAGTGATGTTATAGGATGGTAATGCAACTTCACTTCTGGTATGGCCGCTATAAGGCAGAATGACCATGGGGACACAATCCCTCATTACCTCTTAACCACAGGAACATGAATAAACAAAAAACATAAGAAAAGTTAAAAGCATTAACTTGTATAATTTACCACTAGCAATATACATTGATATAGTTTTTAACATGTTCAGCAATTGATAATACATATCCCAAATAGATAGAAATAATTTAAAACAAAATGGGAGAATGGAGATGAGATGGTAATGTTCTAGTTATAGAAGCATAGTCAGTCGTTGCAGCATACAAATGCAAATGTGGTGTTTCTGAACATAAATATACAACATAGAATATTCACTCAACAAATAAAATAAAATAATTCACAAAATTCTTTAAAAAAAATCCCAAACCGTTCAACAGACAATGCACATGTGTCTTAATAGGAATGGAAAAGGTTCTTAAAGTGCCAGATACCGAAAAATTTTTTTAAAAAAAGTCAAAAAAGCTAAAAAAAAAAGTGTAAATATACAGTACATCATTTTATTTTTGCTATTAAAAATGACTAATCTACTAAACAGCCATCAGCACGCTTAGAATCCTTAAAATAATCATCTATATTCGCTATAAAAAATTGCATTAGGTTCAAGATCTATCTCATTTTCATTTAGTACAGTTTTCTGATCATATTTTCACTTCTTCAGTTCTTTAGTGGCTTTTGTATAGCAAAAACATAGTCCCTCTGGATCACTGTTGTGTTGTATTTTAAAGGTATACATTTAGAGTTAGTTTAAGCATATAGTTAGAGATAACATTGGTGTGGTGTTAGTGTGGTGGCTGGTATAGATTTAAAATTAACGACTATCTTTATTTACACTTGATATGTAAAATTATTATAAGGAAAAATATGAAAAAAATATGTCATATTTTTCTGAAATATTAACATTCTATTCCTACTTAATGTTGTGTTAGGTATATGTGGCAAACCTAGCCACTCGGACTATAACTGGACACTATGCCTTTAAGGGTTGCCTATAGGTCTGGAGAGATATGCGTTTTACCTGTATGTGTCTGCTTCATGTATTCCCTGCATTGCCTGTACCTATCTGTTCCGCCGAATGCAAATGGCGGTTTGTATGGGGATTCTCGTTCGTTTCACGAACGGCACTTTGGAGGGCCGTTCGTGAAACGAATGCGATACCCCCTAATAGCCCACACACTTAGAGGCGTGTGGCGCTAGTTAACCGATTGCAACATTGTTGCAATCGGTTATTAGAGGCTCTCCTGGGTGGCCGTCGTTCGACTACCGACCATGCGGCGGTCGGCCATCTTGGATCCTTTGTTCCCCAGCGGGGTTATGTCGTCGAGCGCCTGGTACTAAAAACGGCTACTCGACGGCATGAGCCCCGCTGAGCCTCCAGGACGTTCGGGAGTTTCGGGACGTTCGGTATTTTGTTCCCTAATAGCAATCGGTTCTTTTTGTATGTTTTATATGAATTGTGTTGTTCGTGCGGCGTTCGGTTATTTTAGCTGGGATCTGAGCGGTAATCTCACGAATGATACCCTCAGACCCCAGCTATCTGCCGAACGTCCATTCGTGTAAATCCACTATATATTCACCAAGTTATTGATTTTTATGTGAATTATCGGTTCTGCTGCACGAGGGGATAATCCACTTAACGGTGCATTCTGGGAAGACTATCCCTCTCGTGCAGCGGTGCCTGATGGGAGAAATATGGTGTAATGTAAGTCCCCCATGTAGTCCCCTCCTGTACAACCCCTGTAATGTCAGTTTGGAAACCCCTTGCATGGGAACTGCATAAATACTGTGACCTGTGATTAAAACCTCAGTTGACTCCCAGCCTATGTGTCGTCTAGTTCTTGGGAAGGAAGGGTTACTGCAGTGCTGTTTGGATTATGGTATGCTGATTCCCTGGATTATCCTTTGTTGTTCCTGTTACCCAGCGGAGATATCGCGGATTATACTGCCTCTCCGCTACAATTGGTGGCAAGCGACGGGATTGAATTTACACAGCAAAGCAACGTTCGGCAGATTTTTAAACGAATCAAGGAACAAGCATTCGGGAATTAGCGCATTCGAATAAACCTCACGAACAGCAGGTGAATGGGAACAGATTACGCCCTGCTAAAACGGAGCACATTAAAGGAGCTGCTGGAAGCAAGAGGAGCAATCGCCAGTAACAAGGCAAAGGCTGTCCTAATTACGGAGCTCATGGAAGGAGACAGAGCCGCAGCTGCTGCAGCACCTCGAATGGAGGGACAAACCCACGAATTTACAGCGGAATTCCGAGCACGAATGGCTTTATTTCCTGAACCCCCATCTACAGAGATGATTAACCGGCTGTTCGCTGATGTACAGGAGTACATTATGGCTAGGGGACCGCCAGGGAACCAGCAAGCCGGGGAAAGAGCCGCAACGCCAGTCCATATTTTCCCAGGGAAAGCCAAAATCCCATATCAAGCCTTCAAAAGCTATGTGGAGACAGAGGGTGGTGTTGACGACTATTTACAGGACTTCGAGAGACTGTGTTTGCTGCACGAAATTAATGATGCAGACAGAGTACCCCTACTAGCGGGGAGATTATCTGGGCGAGCCGCCGAAGCGTACCGGGCAGTACCAGACGAGGATAGTAGAGACTACGCTAAAGTAAAACGGGCCATCCTAGCCCGGTATGCCATCACATCAGAGGCATACCGAAAGAAGTTTCGGGACATTAAAAAACCCACTAAGGACACCCATGTGGAATGGGCGCACCAGCTGCAACGAGCTGCCAAGGGGTGGCTGGAGGCCGCCCAAGTTGATACATTGGAGGGTCTGTTCCAGCTAATGGTACTGGAACAATTCTTCAATGGCGTCCCGACCTACCTACAAAACTGGATCCGGGACAGAAAGCCACACACCCTGCAGGAAGCGGCTAATATGGCAGACGATTTCCAGGACAATCGGAGAGATCAACCCATACCAACCCGAGCCGCCATCCCCCCTGCAACGACCAGCCCTCCAGGGGGCCCCGCAACTCACCAGCGACCAGGGGTAAGCCAGAATTCCTACCCCCCCAGATATTCAGCACGTCCACCAATCCGGTGCCATACCTGCAACCAACAGGGGCACATCCAGAGAGACTGCCCACGGAACCGGCCTCGACCCAGCTGGAATAACGCCGCCCCGAGCAACCGTGCCGCAGTCCATTGTCTACAGGCCGAATCCTACCAAAATCTGGAGTTGGGGACAACCCGGGAGGAACCCCTCGGCACTCTACACGAGGTGAACCCTATCCAGGCCGCCTCCGATAACCGCCAAGGGCACCGCCAGGAAGTACACATGGAGGGGAGGAAAGTACAAGGACTTCGTGACTCTGGAGCCACCCTAACTCTAGTACGCAGTCATCTGGTACCAAAGCCCAAGCTCACGGGGGACTGTGTGGCTGTGCGGGTGGCTGGGGGAGCCATTTACAAAGTACCCACGGCCAAGGTGCACTTGAATTGGGGAGCGGGGCACGGGAATGTATATGTGGGGATGATGCAAGACTTGCCAGCGGATGTGATTTTGGGCAACGATTTGGGGGAGCTGACTTCAGCTTTTGTTCCACAGCCCACCGTACAAGAAGCATACCCGGTTGTGACCCGGCAACAGGCCCGCACCACTGCACCATCCGAACACTCTGAGGCTCAGGTAAGCAATGACCCTCCCCTACCCCCTATCATGCCCTGGGCCAATTCCATAGAGTTCGGGCCGAAGTAGCCCTAGATCCTTCATTACAGGTATACAAAGACCGCATTGATAAAGATCAAGCCGGGTTAGAGGGGGAAAGATATATCTGGGACAAAGGACTACTATATCGGCACGCAGAGAAGGTAGTGTCCGGGTCAATACCGTTGCCCATTAAACAGCTAATAGTGCCTCGAAAGTATAGGTTAGAGCTGTTACGCATAGCCCATGATATCCCTCTGTCTGGACACCTAGGCATCAGTCGGACCAAGCACAGGCTGACCCAAAATTTCTTTTGGCCAGGTATTTCCCAGGATATTAAGCGATATTGTCAGACCTGCGATACCTGCCAAAGGGTAGGCAAGAGGGGGGACTGATACAAAGCCCGACTACGGTCTCTGCCCATCATTGAAGAACCATTAAGTAGGGTGGCAGTAGACATCATAGGTCCCCTTGCAAAACCCAGCCCCTCCGGCAAGAAGTATGTCCTAACTGTGGTGGACTACGCCACCCGGTACCCCGAGGCAGTGGCCCTAACGAACGTACACGCAGAAACGGTAGCCGAGGCCCTGATGAGGATATTCACCCGGGTAGGATTTCCCCGGGAGATTATCTCCGATAGAGGCACCCAGTTTACTGCTGAAGTGACCCATCAGCTCTGGAAAATATGTGGGATACAACAAATCCTCAACTCCCCATATCACCCCCAGTCCAATGGGCTCTGTGAACGGTTTAACGGAACCCTGAAACAAATGATCTGCACGTTCATGGACACCCAAAAAGACTGGGAGCGGTTTTTACCCCACCTACTGTTCGCATATCGAGAAGTGCCGCAAGAATCCACCGGATTCTCTCCGTTCGAATTATTATTCGGGAGGAGAGTGAGGGGACCTCTTGACTTGATACAGGAACACTGGGAGGGAGACGAAACCATTAATGGCACCCCTATCTTACCATATGTGCTCGAGTTCAGGGAACGCCTGGAGAGGCTAACCCAGTCCTTCCGAGACAATTTCCAGGTAGCGCAACAGCGACAGCGCCGATGGTATGATAAGGGAGCCAGGGACCGCAGCTTCCAGGTGGGGCAGAAAGTCCTAATCCTGCGACCCGTCCACAAAGATAAGCTGCAGGCTTCCTGGCAGGGCCCATACAAAGTGGTGGAACAGATCTGTGACACCACCTATGTGATCGGCCCGGTTACCGGCGTGGGAGGCAAACGCATGCTCCATGTGAACATGCTCAAGCCATACCACGAACGGACTGAGGAAGTCACCGCAATCTGTGCCCCTGCCACGGAAGATTTTGATAACCTACCCCTACCCGATCTCCTAGACCAAGAGGGCCAGAGCGGAGATCTGGGAGAGGTACAGTTAGGAGAAAGATTAAATGCCCAAGAACGGGCCCAGGTACAAAAGTTGCTTCGGGAAAAGAAGGCCACGTTTTCCAATTTACCCGGCTATACCCCGTTGGCTACCCATAAGGTAGAAACGTTAGATCCGACCCCCTTGCGCCAACCCCCATACCGCACTCCAGAAGCAGTCAAGGAAAATATGCGCAAGGAAATTGAGGAGATGATTCAGCTAGGAGTAATAGAGCACTCGGACAGCCCCTGGGCCTCCCCGGTAGTACTGGTGCCAAAACGGGACGGGACGACCCGTTTCTGCGTAGACTACCGACGGCTCAACGATAAAACGACCTCTGACGCATATCCCATGCCCCGAATAGACGAACTCCTCGACAAGATGGCCAGGGGTCAATACCTAACCACTATAGACTTGTGCAAAGGGTACTGGCAGATTCCCTTAGCGGAAGACGCCATCCCTAAGTCGGCTTTTGTCACCCCGTTTGGCCTGTATCAGTTTAAGGTCATGCCATTCGGGATGAAAAACGCTCCAGCTACCTTCCAGAGAATGGTGGACAGACTATTAGATGGGTTCCAGGAGTATGCCTGCGCGTATCTAGATGATATCGCCATATTCAGCCACTCCTGGCACGAACATCTGGTTCACATAGGAGCCATTCTAGACCGAATCCGAGAGGCCGGACTGACCCTAAAACCCAGCAAATGCCATATCGGTATGGCGGAAGTCCAGTATCTGGGGCACCGGGTAGGGAGTGGGCAACAGAAACCCGAACCTGCTAAAATAGAGGCAGTCGCCCAATGGCCTACCCCTCGCACCAAGACCCAAGTGCTCGCCTTTTTAGGGACCGCCGGGTACTACCGGAAGTTTGTGGCCAACTATAGCGCCCTCGCCAAACCCCTCACAGACCTGACCCGCAAGAACCTCCCTAAGTTAGTAGTCTGGGCCCCAGAGTGTGAGCAGGCGTTCCAACAGCTCAAGACAGCGCTTGTTAACTCTCCTGTACTTTCTGCTCCTGATCCAACTAAACGCTTTCTCGTCCACACAGACGCTTCTATGTTTGGATTGGGAGCAGTATTGAGCCAAGTTGGACCCGATGGCGGCGAGCACCCCGTAGCTTACCTAAGCCGAAAACTTTTACCCAGGGAAGTAAGCTACGCCGCCATTGAAAAGGAGTGCCTGGCTGTGGTGTGGGCCCTCAAGAAGTTGCAACCCTACTTATACGGGCAACCCTTCACTTTACTCACGGATCACAACCCATTGGTGTGGCTGAACAGGGTGTCCGGAGACAATGCCAGGCTGCTGCGCTGGAGTTTGGCGCTGCAGCCTTTTGACTTTACTATCCACTACCGCCCTGGGAAGCAGAATGGCAACGCCGACGGGTTGTCTAGACAAACAGACTTGGAGCCGTGATTCGTGAGTACTCCTCCGGACATCCCCAAGCCAATCCGTTGGGATCAGACTGTGTATGCCGGTTTGGTTCTGGGGGAGCATTGTGGCAAACCTAGCCACTCGGACTATAACTGGACACTATGCCTTTAAGGGTTGCCTATAGGTCTGGAGAGATATGCGTTTTACCTGTATGTGTCTGCTTCATGTATTCCCTGCATTGCCTGTACCTATCTGTTCCGCCGAATGCAAAGGGCGGTTTGTATGGGGATTCTCGTTCGTTTCACGAACGGCACTTTGGAGGGCCGTTCGTGAAACGAATGCGATACCCCCTAATAGCCCACACACTTAGAGGCGTGTGGCGCTAGTTAACCGATTGCAACATTGTTGCAATCGGTTATTAGAGGCTCTCCTGGGTGGCCGTCGTTCGACTACCGACCATGCGGCGGTCGGCCATCTTGGATCCTTTGTTCCCCAGCGGGGTTATGTCGTCGAGCGCCTGGTACTAAAAACGGCTACTCGACGGCATGAGCCCCGCTGAGCCTCCAGGACGTTCGGGAGTTTCGGGACGTTCGGTATTTTGTTCCCTAATAGCAATCGGTTCTTTTTGTATGTTTTATATGAATTGTGTTGTTCGTGCGGCGTTCGGTTGTTTTAGCTGGGATCTGAGCGGTAATCTCACGAATGATACCCTCAGACCCCAGCTATCTGCCGAACGTCCATTCGTGTAAATCCACTATATATTCACCAAGTTATTGATTTGTATGTGAATTATCGGTTCTGCTGCACGAGGGGATAATCCACTTAACGGTGCATTCTGGGAAGACTATCCCTCTCGTGCAGCGGTGCCTGATGGGAGAAATATGGTGTAATGTAAGTCCCCCATGTAGTCCCCTCCTGTACAACCCCTGTAATGTCAGTTTGGAAACCCCTTGCATGGGGAACTGCATAAATACTGTGACCTGTGATTAAAACCTCAGTTGACTCCCAGCCTATGTGTCGTCTAGTTCTTGGGAAGGAAGGGTTACTGCAGTGCTGTTTGGATTATGGTATGCTGATTCCCTGGATTATCCTTTGTTGTTCCTGTTACCCAGCGGAGATATCGCGGATTATACTGCCTCTCCGCTACAGTATACATGTAGGAAAGTAAAAATAAAAAAGCCATTTCTGTCATTTAAAAACAAATATATCAAAGTCATCCATCCATAAGGTGTTAAACTTTTTTGCAAACAAGGTAAAGCTCTCTTTAAATGCCACTTTTACATATTGTTAGGCTTAAAACTTATTATGAACTACTAACATCAGCATTCTGAAAGTAATAGCATCAAGGCTAGCATAAAGCATCACGACTAGCATCAGCAAAGTTTTGGTTTATTTACTTTTTGCTGATGTCTGAAGCCTATACTTTATTACAACCCTGATGATGATGATGATAACAGTTAACAGTTTTATCGTTTTATAAAGCCTTATTTTATTTACAAGACATTTCTGTACTTATTCCACATATTTGCCGCTTATGATATCTTCTGGGAGTTTGCCATTATTCACATTCATGTTTCTGATCCTGACAGAAGGTGTTTATGTTGTAACTTTATGTGAAACAAGCATCATCACACGCTATTGCAAACCGCTATGGGTGATATTTATCAATGTGCATTTCTAAGACATAGAGCTAAAAAAGGCGCAATCACCACGGGAACCAATAGATTGTCTTTTATTAACATATAGCACTTTGAACCTAAAATAGCACCTCTTTTTGCCTTGCTAAATCCCACTCTTTACCCCTAAGATGCTTACATAATATTGTTACTTTTAGAAATTATGGTGGCGATCACCAAGCCGATAATATTAAGGCATTTTATTGGTTTCCACAGTAGGTGACTGCTCTTTTCCCCAGAATAGTATGTGATTTTGCCTTGAAATATCTACCACAATATTTATTTCTGTCTATTTGGCACACTTGCTTTTTAGGATATTTACACTACACCAGAGCTGAGGGCATACTGTAATGGACCAAAATGCCCAGATAATTACCTTCCTTGCAAAAGTTATAAATTGGATGTAGATAGGGTTATTTATAGTATTTTACCTATAAGCTTGCAGTTTGTTAGTGCAACGAAAATGAATGTGTGAAAATATTTTCCATGGCAAACAATGGAAGTTTTATTTATGAGTTATCTCCTCCTTCAAGTAATAGAACAGGGGTAATGCAAACAAATTAAGACTGATGGTATTAAATGTCCAAACCTTTTCTCTGTTCTACGCTGTAGGCAGATAAACACTTTTCTTTCATGACTCAAATTCCAATTATAGTGTTTGCCTTTCTTTCTCTCTCTCATTCCAGAACTCTGTAAACTGTATATTTAGTAGAAGGACTAACAGTTAATCTTCCTCTTGATGCTAAGATAATATGCTCAAAGATGAAGGCTATGTGTTCATGTGCATTAGCAGTAGCATCTTGCAGGTGCTTCTGAGTATTCTTCTGGTCTATAAAGAGAACAATTTTCAGTGCACTTGGCATTCAGTTCATTTAA